TGTTGTTGATTAATTCTGATTTCCCAGCTTCCTTTCTAACACCAGCGATTTTGTTTTCATTAGGGCAGACTACAAGAACGTCTGCTTAACCCCTTCCCGTAGCTTCCCAATGGCCACCTCTTGATTAAATCCCTCTTCACCTCTCATCCTGCATTCTCTCAGCGACACTGGAGCCGGTCGCCCAGACATATAAGCACCTAAGTCTCAGTGATCTACACCTCTGCCACGGACCCACGCTAGCTGTGTTTTGAATACTCTGCATTGTTCTTCACTTGGATCCTCTGGTTTTTTTGTTTTTTTTTTTGCTATAATATTTTATCCTTACATAGAAATAGATAACAACACAAAGCTTTTGCATGTATGTAACTCATTAAATGTTAGCATTCTGAAAATGTAAAGACAAGATGCCTTTTACGTGTCCTTTCCAGTTTTTGAAGAAATATTTTTATTTACGTGTATGTATGTTTCTGTGTGTATTCAAATGTGTATACAGGTGTCCACTGAGGCCAGCGGAGGGCCTCAGGTGCCATGGAGCTAGAGTTACAGGCAGTTATGAGATGTTCACTGTTGGTGCTGGGAAACTAACTTGGGGTCCTTCTCGAGAGCAGCAAGCACTGTGAAGCACTGAGCTATCTTGCTAGCTGGCTCTTTTTATCTTACCTCTACCTGGTATACTTGCTGTATTTACACTTATTCCCTCACCTGGTTTTATACCTTTGCCATGCAAGCTTTCATTAGCAATGTATTGTATTCATTTGCAAATTTTAAAATTGATAAATGACATTTTACCATGACACGTACTATGTCATTTGCAATTGTGCCACTTATTTGATAGGTATAATCTGTGCCATATTATATTTTATTATACAAATAGTAACATCCTTTCTCTTGTTGATACACAGTAATTGTTTCTAATTAATTGAAATTAAGAAAAACTGAGATACTTCTCTAGACCATATTTTTATCTGTTCTTTTTTTTTTTTTTGAGGAAATTTGTCACCATACAAATTTCCACGGTGACTGCATCAGATTACACTTGGGAAGAAGGAAGCTCAGTTGAGTAATTGCTTTCATCAGATTGGCCTATGGCGCGGAAGTGGGGCATTTTAAAATTACTAACTGATGTAGGCGGGCAGGGCCACGGTGGGTGGTGTCACCTGTACCCAGGTGGACCTGGGCTGTGTAGGAAAAGTAGGTGAGCGAGGCCTAGGAAGCAAGCAACCAAGCAGCATTCCTTCATGGGCTCTGCGCCAGTTCCCGGCCCAGGTTGCTGCCTTGGCTTCCCTTCAGGATGAACCTGTAAGCCAAATAAACCTTTTCCTTTCCAAGTTTGTTTTTGGCTTCTGTTTTATCACAGCGATGGAGAAGTAAACTTGGACAGAAATTGGTACCAAGGGGTATTGCTATGATGGACCTGTTTATGTTTTTTGGGGCCATGATTGTTGAAGGATTCGGAGCGTTGGGCTGGAAAAGTCATTAGGAGTTCTCAGAGCATAATGAGCTATTCTGCGGGGCCTCAGGAGATAAGAATGCTGGCAGCAATGAAGACAACAGAGGTCTGGCTTGAGAATGACATTTCAGGGGGAATACTGTCGGGGCCATTTGTGTGATATATTTGAATTAAGACACTATGGCAGTGAGATCCTTGCTTTACTGGAAGAATTTATGCTGGTTAGCTGGGACTGAAAACTCAGCTATGAATAGTGAGAGACCAGCAGCACCCAGGTGAAATGTCCCGAGAAGCATTTTCTCACAGCGTTAGCACATAGAAGCTATTGCCAAGGGGAGGTAGCAAGGCTGCATCTCAAACAGGAAGGTGAACCTGGAAGTAACTAAGGGTCTCCAAGATGGTATGGATTTTGTAGGAATGAAGGGGTGCATGGACAGAAAACAGAGGCTTGGCACCGTGTGGCGTGGCGGAGTTGGAGTCCCTGGAGAGGCCAGGAGAGGTCAGTGGTGAGGGTGCAGTCTCAGTGGCAGCGAAGACCCTGGATGGTGGACCGGTGATGCTCAGATGGCCACTAAGGACAGCAGCCCGTGTTGAGCGGAGCTGGCCTGAGCCTATGAGATAAACCATGTGTGTTGTGGATGATGGACCCAGAGAAGTGGGGCTGCCTAAACCCATCGGAGCCTAGAAAAATCGTAAGTAGCCAATGCTGAACAGCAAACTGTTTGCCTGGCTTTGAACGGATTTTCAATTATAGTCTGTTTTTTTTCCCCCGTTCCCTTTTGAAGTAAAGCGTACAGCTTATTTCAGATTACACTGGAGCCCACAGTCAAGAGATTTTGGAACTTTAACTTGAAGTTTTAAAGCACTGAACTTTTTATAAAGACTTGGGCTTTTGAGGTTGGACTACATTTTATATTGTGCTATTAATGTTATATGTGATCGTGGCTTAACAGTTTGTGTGTCAGGTTGACGAGGCTCTATTGCTGCTTGTTTATTTTTGTGAGCTTAACAGGGGCTAGGGTCATCTAGGAAGAGGAAAATTCAGTTGAGGAATTGCAACAATCACACTGGCACGTGGGGATGGTCTGTGGGGCATTTCCTTACGCAGGAGGGTCCAGCTCATTGTGGGGGTGCCTTCCCTGGGCAGCTTGGGCCTGGACTGTATAAGAAAAATAGTCGAGTTAGCCAGAGGAAGCAAGCCAATAAGCAGCACGCCTTCATGGTCTCTGCTTCAGCTTCCACCTCTAGGTTACTGCCTCGACTCCTTCCGTCGGCTTTCCCTCCATGACGGACTGTAATCCGTAAGTTAAACCATTTTCTCCACAAGCTGGATTTGTTCTGTTTTGCCACAGGAGAAGCAAGTTAGAACAAAAATACACAGCTGTGCATTTCCTTCTGGCTCCTCTGTTTCATTGGTCTACGCGTCTGTTTCTGTGCTAGTAACATTTTGTTTTTGTCACTGTGGTTCCGTAGTACTATTTGGGGTCAGGTATTGTGAGACCTCCAACTTTGCCAATGTTTGCTCAAAGCAGTGGCCCCACTGAGAACAACTTTCTAAACCAGTTAGCTTTGCCTTGGCGTGACCAAAGAAACTCACAGAAACAAGGAGGAAGTATGTGCTTCAGCTCATGGTTCCAGAGGGATCCATCTATCAGGGTGACATGGAGAAGCAGAACAGTGTGTGTTATGGTGGGTCAGGAAGCAGAGAGTGACAGAAAGTAGCCAGGGGTGACAGACTCCTCAAGTCCTTCCCTGCCATGGCCTGTTTTTCAGCTAGGCCCCTCAAAGTTAGCAGAACATACCACTAGTTGAGGCATGCCTGATTAAAAACATGAACTTGTGAGGAACATTTCAGATCCAAGCCATCGGCACCCCTCCCCCGAGTCTTTTCCTTGAGCTATGTATGTTTTGTGTAATGTTTTATCCTTTTCCCACACCCCTGTTAATGTATTTTCTTTTGGGTTTTGCTGTAATGCTCTAAATTTAAACCAGGGACCTAGTTTAACTTTTTCATTTGCGTGTAAGTTGTCTTAGCATCACTCTTCCTTCCTTCATTACAAGTAAACAGCTTGGAGTTTTCATTTCTCTTGAGTAAATCCTCTGAGTGGACTTGCTGAGCCATATGCAAGGCATGTACTTAGCTTTTAGGTCACTGAGAACTGCTTTCCCAGATGACCTGCGTGATTTCTCCTCATATCAGCGTAAGAGAGTTCTGATCTTTTTATATCTTTGGTAATATTTGGAATAAAAATATATTCATTAATGTCCAGTGGTATCGCACTGTGGTTTTAATTTTGTGACAATATTGAATGTATTTGCATGTTAATTTTCCTCTCTTATGCCTTGTTTATTAAAGTGGAAAAATTCTTTGCCTAATTTTGCTTATTGGTCTGTGTTCTTAAATTTTATGAGTTTTGAATACTTGATACCTTCTGGATAAAAAAAAATGCCTTTACTAAATATGTTTTGTAAATACATCCTCTCATTTTGTAGCCTTTATTTTACTTATATTAGCAATGCTTTTGCTCGGCATGGTGGCACATGCCTGTAATTCCAGCACTTGGGGAGGTAGAAGGAGTTGGACCTCTGTGAATTCGAGGCCAACCTGGTCTACAGAGTGAGTTCAGGACAGCCAAGGCTACACAAAAGAACCCTATCTAAAACAAAACAATTCTTAAACCAATGCTTAAAAAGCAGAAAAGTGTAATTTTGATAACATTTTTATTTATCCTTTTATACAACAAATTTGATGTATTTTTGGTTTCCTGGCTAAGACATCACTGACCAACTCAGAATCTTCCTGCTTTGCTTTTTTTTCTAGACATTTTACAACTTCAGGTTTTAAATTTAGGGTGTGATGCACTTGAAGTTTTCTCTATTGTATATGACATGTTACCGATAGGATTTCATGTTCCTCCTGGCTATCCAGTTATGCCAATTCCATTAGTTGGAACTGTCATTCAATTGCCTTTGTCTTTCTGAGTGCACACACACACACACACACACACACACATTGTGTGTGTGTATGCCCATGTAGGTCTTCATCTGCCTGGAATCTCCGCTAGCCTGTGTGTTGCATGTGAATGCCAGAACAGGGGGTGGAACAAAAAACTCATAGGAATATCTGCTGTCTTATCCAAGTGTGATTTGGCTCACAATTTCTAAGTAAAAATTAATTAGAAACAAATGAAGGGCTATGGTAATGGCTCTGCAGATTAAGAGCTGGCTGTGCAAGCTTGAGAACCCGCGTTTGGATCCCGAGCACCCACATAAAACTCAGGTGAGGTGTCACGGACCTGTGATCCCCGTGGATCTATGGTAGAGTGAAAGGTGGAGACGGGAATCCCTCGAAGATCACAGCCAGCTAGACTGGCCTGTGTAGCCTTGAGCAACAAGATAGGCTGTCTCAAATCATGAAGACCCAAGGTGTTCCCTGACGCCCATCCAACAATTCTCTCTCTCTCTCTCTCTCTCTCTCTCTCTCTCTCTCTCTCACACACACACACACACACACACAATGAAAACAGAATGGATACAAACGAGCTGGGAATGGATTTTGGACATAATTTTTATTTAAGCATGGGCTTTTAGCATGGTTCACCCTGGAGTGCAACCTTCTGTTTCACCAATCGGAGGACACAGGACCAGTAGACTTTGCTGGTATTGGCTCAACTTCATCAGAAGGTATGAATATGACCCACAGGGAAAACAACCCATGAGAAGAACACAATGGAAAAAAAAACAACACCCACCATTTTACAAATCATTTTGTTACCACAGACACAAAATGGCAGTTACTGTTAATAAATCAGCCATGGAGCATTAAAAAAAATCATTTTAGACAAGGTAATGGGAACTTCATTGTGGGAAGGAGATAGGGTGCTCATCCACAATTTTTAAGTAGAAAATATATGAAGTTCAAACATTGTTTTTCCTATCCACAAAATGATGCTAAATCAACATACATGTTAAAAGCATATTAAAGGAGATAACAGTATCTTTACAGCTATCATCTTGAATAGGTATTTGAATTAACTTTCTGCATAATACGAGTAGAACAGAGTCCAGCAGCAAAATATTGCAACATAGCAAGTCGATACAGTTTCAATGTGTTATACTGTAGAGGAGAATACATAAAGACAAACAACAATAACTTACTCATATAAAACAAGATACAAAGCTGAAATACAGTCTACTTAAATAGCTCGGTGACCAAGAATGTTAAATACGGTGCTAAGATGCCATTTTAAACATAAAATCTTCAGAATGTTGTGCTTAAACTTTTTTTTTTTCCTGTTAAACTATTCCTTATTCTCAATACTGCCACGGTAACTGATATTACGACAGCTCACAATTTCCACGGACACACTGACATAAAGACATTTACTTATACGCAGAGAAGCCACTCAGGATTAGTTCACAGTGTGGGGAAGCGGTGTGCACTCGGTCTTGAAGGGCTGTCTGTTAGTCCTTCAGGTATGTCTCCTGATACTGGGTGCAGGGAGAGGTGTTTCGACAACTGGGGAGCAGCACTTCCTGTGCCGGGAGGGGAACACACGTGGATTCTTCACGGGTGTCGCCTCAGCGACCTTCGTCTTCTGCTGTAGAAGTGCCTGAGCCCATGTTGCCGTGAAAAATTCATCATGTAATTTTGTTTGCGAGTGCTGTTTAAAAAAAAAAACAAAACAAACAAAAAAACAAACCACAAGAAGGGTACAGGTGGGGAGGGACAGGAGAAAGAGCATGTAAGTCCCGTCACTGAACGTGCGATCTGTTCTAAGGTCCTACTATTTATTTGGCCCGCTATTTATTTGAACATTTTCAGAGTTCAGAAGTCGTGCTGACTTCACCACCTGAGGGACAGAATAGTTCAAGCCTGGCGTCTGCGTCACTACCTCCGGCCCTGAAATCCCTTTCTTCTCAGAACCTGAAACCATCTCCCTGTCAGCTCTGTTCCGGAGGGTGTGTACGCATTGTACCTGTTACCTTATTTACACTCGTCTTTAGCAAGTAGCAAAAGAGATTTGGTTACTTTAGTGAACATTTTCATTTCAAGATTAAAGGGCTAAAATAAAAACAAAAGATTGGATAGCAGAATGAGCTGGACTTTCCTAGTTTGTTCTCTCTCAGGGCGCACAACGGAGAAGAGATGTTGGGCTTATTGACTGTTTCAATGAGCAACTGGGTTTGTATTTGATAATGTCTTGGTGAAAGGGATGCTATGCTAAGAAAGGAGTTCATAAAAACACCAAGATAAGTGTAACTGAACATACAACCATATTTGTATCTGTATCTATATGTTCTCCCCATACACACATGCGCGCACACACACACACACACACACACATACACACACACACAGACAGACATACATACATACTCATCCACATACTATGTACAGCTGATTAATATACTGAAATGGATATCAAGACTCTTAGGAAATTAAACAATAGTTGCAGTGACAGCTACTAATGTTATGGCACGAAAAATAGATTTTTTTTTTTTATTCAGACAGGGTTTTGATATGTTTTGCAGATTGGCCTCGTACTTATGATTCTCCTCCCTCCGTCTCCAGAGCCCTAACTCTCAGCTATTTTTTTTTTTAAGTTTCATGATCTGTAACATCATTGAGTTAAGAAATGTGCTTTCATACATTGACCTGAAGGGTAATATATTTATATGTGACATCAATATGTGGTTTGAGTACACATCTATCAATATCTTCAAATGTATTAAGCCTCTTGAATATGTGGTCTCAAATACATGGAGAGAGAGAGAGAAAGATATGTGATTCTACTATCAAGGGCAACACAAAATGGACTTGAGTCAGGCTAAAGGGAAAGGCTTACAATGATGCTTTTTAAACAATATTGTCTAGACACTGTACTTAGGTAAAAAAAAATGTGGAAACCTTTAAAGTGAGGGAATTTTACCTAGTGAGTAAATAAGAATCTGAAGGAAAACACAGACATAGCTCTAAAGCAGCAGCATCTATTCTGAGCCCTTGAGAAAAATGTTAGATTTTGATTTCCGGTACCTTCACACCCATTCTCTGCTTGCACGTGGTGGTGATATGTATGTTACTCTACACTGATCGGTTTTGATCCCGCAGTGGAAGGATAAAGGAACTGCATTCCATATTTATTAGCTGCTCTGAGCAGTAACTCCCGCTGCCATAAAGTCAAATCTTAAAAATGGACAGTGACCTAGTGCACTGAGCTAGCCAAGCATCGGAGAAACGATTGTTGCTATTTTTATTTGCTACATCTTGGGACTGCCCCTGGATTCCTGCTGGAATGTAAGGTCACCTTGAGTCCTCTGCACTATCATCATGGTCCCTAAACCAACTCCCGCATCTCTGTTCTCCACTGAAAAGGAGCTGTGAAGTGCTATGACAGTTTACACTTATTGACAACTCTAAGATTGCATGCATGTGTACTAGGCCTCTCACACACATATACAATAGATTTACACACCCCTCTCAGGAAATTTCCCCTCAGAGGTTGGCTTGGTTTTTATCAGTGAACTATCCATAACGCTTACACCTCATAATGACATCTGAGCTGGTGACACCATGCATTGCCTGTCCCCTTCCTGACGAACCCTGCCGTTTCCAGGTCCTTCCTCCTGATCCACCCCTACGCAAAGCCTCTAGTCTTTACCGGCCTCCCTGGCCATGCTCTAGCAGCGCGTCCTCAGTTTCTACTTGTTATTCCAGTGTTATCTTTGCTTTTGTGCTCGCAGCACCCCCTCAACCCTGATTTCTTTCTTTTTCTTTTTCTCTCCACCCCCAGGCACAACAGTGCACCTCTTGCTTGACCTGTGGGTGGCCAAGGCATGCTATTGAACCTTTGTTGACTTACTGATTGGATTCCTGCTGTAAGTCATTACTCTTTAACTATAAGGAATAATTGCAGAGTTAAAGCAATGAAGTTATTCTGTCAAAACATGTTCAAAGACAAAGTACTCAAAGAACATTTAAGATGGTTACATATTTTACATAAAAAGCCCAAGCAAGCAGGATACTCAGTTATCTCGTTGCAAATCTGAGTGATGTGAAAACAGATATCCTTAACTCTAACTGACGTTAGTAGTCTGATAGCAAATTCTATGCGAAGTTGTTTCATTATGGCACTGCTTTAAAATTTCTGTCTTCATGTGAAAGAACATTAGCAGGTTGTGGATTTTTTTTCAAAGAGGTTTATAGCTAAGTTAGGGGATGCTCTAATTCACTGGGCACACGAGTCAGTTCGTGTCCTATATCTGTAAATCCCCACGAACCTTCATATGCACATAGAAGTACATCTATGTCAGATGTCCAGTGTTCATATAATTTTATTTAAGCGGCCACACTTTCAAAGCATGCTTGTAGCTAACTAGTAATTTGGTTATGAGTCATTTGCATTGAAGTCTAATGAGGTGGATTTTTACAGTTCATAAACCTGTTCAAGCAGCATGGGGAATGTAATAACAGAATCATGTCTGACTCTAGGCCCATTTAATAACCCTGTGTGACTATTAAGCAGCTAATCTGTCTTCCAAACTGTGCAGCTTACAAGAGTCTGTATTAGAGCAGTTTCAATCACAGGAGTTTTAAGGACATTTTAAAATCTTGTGTTGGTCTATTTTGGGGGAGTATAATCTTGCTTTCAATGCAAATAGATTGTGCAACTGAGTTGTCGAGATTCACTTTTTCACTGCAACTACAGGGAGGGTTGATTTTTATTATAAGTTCAATATAAGCAGTGACGTTCACTCCAGGGCACACTCTAGCACTGGACATGGCAGTTGCTTCGGTTGTAGGTAGAACTAGGTCTGTTAAGTAATTCTTCGAGGGCAATCCATTGAAAGAAGGGGGAGTGAGCAGCTGACTGAAATGCTGACTGAAATTCCCATTGATGTGTTAGAAAAATGCATCCCTGATTCTGCATAGAAAATGGTGGTGGTTGTGAGATCTTTAAGGAATTTGTGATCCCATGTTCTTTTGAACTATTACTTATTCCTGGGATCACAATATTAGCTCGTTTATTATTACAAAAACAAATTTAATCCGATTTGAAAGGTGAATTCTAAAGGATATGGAAGGGATGAGGATAAGAAGAATTTGAGCTCATAGACATTTAGGCATCTTATTGATCAGTAATTCGTTATTTTTTAAATATATGAAACAACAAACAATAAGATTTCTCTTCTGCTAAGGGGAAATGAGGATGATGTTTGACCACACACCTCAGGGAACTGTCAGGGTTAAATGAAAAACCTTAACCCCATCTGCACATGGTTTTAGTACTTAGAACCAACTTCACTCTTGGAGGTCATGCAGCAGAGGGCAACCAGAAAGGTGGCCCATCTTACCAACAGGCAGGATCCAGAACCCACAGTGTTAAGACTGAAGTTATGCCTCTCTTTCAATTATTAAATTAAAATTGGTGAGTGAAGGCAGCTTCATGCATTTGCCCTGCCCAGCAAATCTCTTGGAAGGCATTCACTACAGTCTTGGGACCTTCTGCAAACATTTCTAATTCCACTTCCTCATAAGGAGTTTGTTAACTGTGAGTGCTTCAGGGGTGTCTACTACGGAAACAGGCATACTTGCCCAATGGGGGATTGCCAATTCCAGTACCCCAGCCTTCCTTGCCGTACCCAATACCCCAGACTTCCCTTAATTTGCCTAACTTTCCTGGATGTTGACCATCCCGGCAATGCATCCCGGTATCACTGATAACTGCTTTTCTAGAAAATTTCATTTGTGAAGGGTCCTCTGCAGACATTCTCAGCTAGCTTTGGTAAAACTCAAAAAGTGAACAGATGCGGTGAGGACAACTTACCTTACTCTAGTAGAAAACCAATGACAGCAAATAATGAAATATAATACAAGTTAAAAAATGCCTCTCAACGCATGCAGCACTGTGATTAGTCATAAAAGTCTGATCAGGTTTAGGCGCACTATAGGATTTTTCATCTCTTTTGAAAATAAAAATTCAACATGTTATTTCTTATCCTTCTATACCCAATATAAAAATAACTCTTTAATGTAATGCAACATGCAATATTTGCTCATAACCGTATGTCAAGGTACACGTAGCTATAACACTACATTTGGCATAAATGTTACATATAAAGTATAAATATTAATAATTTCATATCTACTGTAAATTTTATGTTTTTAATTATTTACATTTTAGGTACTTAGGAAATTAAGGAATGGGCTTTAAAAATGGAGAAGTCTTCTACATCAGATAAAATAGTCAAATTTACTAAAGGAAAAATATGCTTTGCAACAAATGTAATATGCTCATCTCTATAAATCATTTGTGCCAAAAATGTGACAGTATCTTGATGATGAATAGCAAGAGGGGATGGTCACGATGAAACTTATATTAAAATCTGATAAATGTGTTTAAAGCCAAAGTTAGCAACATATTAGTTTTCAATCTTCAATAAATCTGGCAATAATTTGCTTGTTATTAAATCAATTCACGAAGGCTAACTTTTTACTGAGTGATTTGCTTTCAAGGTACACATGCAAAAATCGGCCCAATTCATTATACACATGACAGGCTGTGACTGAGACACGCACACAGGAAATGTGATGTGTGAATGGAATGCGGAGGAGTTGAGTGAGGGAGATTCTTAGGATAGAAGTATGAGTGCCCAACAAAAGGGTTGAGGTGACAAACTCTCTTTTACCCTAAGAAGCTCCCTGCCAGCATGGATCTTGTGAGGGATCTGCCCAAGTGTCTTCATAAACATTTACTGAAAAGCAAATAGCCTATGCTAGCAAGTGAGTTCAGAGGAGTTAGGTTTCACCTGACTGGCAATGACTGTGGTATCCTATATTATTTGGACTTTGGGGAATGAAGTCTTTTGGAAAACTAGTGAGGCTGGAAAAAAAACGACCTTCCAGTTCAATACAGACATATTAGCAGGGGTTCCCCACCGCAAAGGCTTCCATGTGCAGGTTTCACTGGGAAACGAGCGAGTGGGAGTATCCCACTCTCAAGCAAGCACAAGGACTGGCTTGTCGAACGTTGAAAGGGGCGGTTCTGTCTTTATAGTTTGAGGCTGGTCATTCTTTATGTTTATGATGCTCAAATCTTTCCACACACAGTCTTTTAAACTCAAGCCATTAAGACTATAATATGTGTCCTGTTCATTTAGGAAGTTCTCCTCCACCTTGAAACATTGTTCAAAGGTGTTGCGTTTGTTCTCATGAAACTCATATGTCCTTGGTTAATATGGGCAGTGTGGACATTAATCAGTGTTAAGATACCATGCATAATCACAGCTTTTCTTTCTAGAGGTTTTTAGCATGTGTCCTTGGTACATATATACGAAAGTAAAACTATGACATTAAACCTAGGTTAAACTATAACAAAATTTGTAGTGTTTATGAAATAGCATGAGCCCCGGCTAGAGTCTGTGTATCTTGCAGAGCTGAAGGACAATGGGGTTTATTTTTCTGAGTTAACTGGAATTTTCTATCATATGTTCATGAAATGAATAAATTGTATTGCAAAGCTATCAAGCACATAATAATGACTATCTTAAAAATTCTTACAAAAAGGAAATACTTTGAAATTCTATAGTGGCAAAAAACATTATCTCTTAATAGCAGAGCAAAACGAGCAAATACATAGTTTTAAAACAGAATTCTTTAGGACCATATATATTAAAAATTCATTTATTAAATTGAGCTCTGTGAAGTATATAATTTTTTTAAAACAAGGAAAACAAACTATTTCTATAATTTTAGCAAACTCTGAGATATCACTAAAGAGATGGCATTTGTTCATAAAACTACGTGTATTTAAGATATACACTGTCGGTGTAAAATTATAGTTTCTGAGTGGTTCACTGAGCAATGTCCTGGAGTGCAATAAGCAATGCGGTACCGCATAAGAGTGCTGGTGTGCTCCTGTGTAAAAAGCTTGGCGTCCTGAAGCTTTGAGGCGACAATGCAGGGTCAGAGTGGGAGGCACCTGGCAAGTGACAAATTCTTTAAAGTCTTAAAACTCTGGGGACTGAATAAAAATGAAGTCTTATAAAACACATTATAGTTCCAGAATGTATTAAGTTTTGAGTCTTATGACAATATCATGATGCTGGTAGTTGCTTACAAAAATTAATACCAACACCAGGTATTCCAGAAGGTTCTCTCGGGGGCAGGCAGGAAGGCTTCCTGATGGAACTGAGTGCCTCCGAGGCAGCGGTTCCACAGGGAACAGGATGTTGTTTCCCAGTTGTGTAGGGGTTACGTCATGCTAACATAGGATATTCTAGATGACAGCAGCAGCCTGTCTGGGTGGGAGTGGAGAGTACTTATTCAAATGCATGATATGCTGAGAATTCTTGCACCCGCCAAGGAGAGTAAGCATTCTGCTTTCTGTGGAGAATGGGCAAGTTTTGAAGTTTCTGGAGGAGTTGTCAGTATTGTGTTTGTGCGCGTTGTCTGGAGGAAGGCTTAGGAGGAGATGTGGTTGCGGATCCTGAGTCAATCCGCAAGAAGCACCTGAGCTGCTCTTAAAAGTGGTGCTCGGTTCCCAGTGCAGACGAGGCAAACCCGCCTGAGGAAGGAGCTTCCCTGGGGATTCTGAGCCTCACTCAGGTGGGGTCTCTGCTCTAAGGGGCGAGGTCAGGGCCCATGGCAGTAGGATGGAATTCTGGTCTACCTGGACATGTGTCTGTGTCCTCCCTATACACATATCCGTATGTTTGCAGTCTTTAAGAGCCCACACTAGTCTACTCTGTAGTTGGAGGAAATCAACAGCTAAGTAAACGTCAGCCTCAGATTTAGATTCAAGGGTCTGACTGTTCCTTTAAACCTAGATTTTGTCTTACGGAGGCAGAGCCCAGCAAGTGGTCCAGAAGCAGCAGAGCGCACAGTGGGGGCTTGTGTGGGGACCGGGTTGCTCTTGGAATTGGGATTGATATGGATGCCATGCAAGCAGGTGCCTCAGTGACAGCTAGGACAAGGGCTAGCTCAAGACTGCAGAATTCAGCTCATGGCCATGAAAGAAAGAAAACAAATCTGGTAGTTTTCCTACCAATTAATGACTGAAATTGGCTTTCAAAATGACTGAAATCAGCCACACGACTGATTTCATTTTGGATCTGGTAAACAAGAATGAACAGTTGAACCTATCTACCGAGAAGATTCGCCTCTCCTTGATAACCACTTGGAGCCACCAGTTCGGACCCGCCGAGACATAAGCATTCCAGTTTTACAGGAACTAGATTGTTAGAGAAAAAGCAAGTCATCTCTTTGCAAGGGAACAGTCAACCCAGCCAGAGGAGAGTGGTGACAGAGCTTTTATGTGGGACGAATAAGGGGGAGGGCGTGCTTCACTTGTTGGGGGATGGGATTAATCAGGAGCAGTGTGAAACTGTAGAGTTTCTGTTCTGGTTACAACCAAATCCTTAAATGTAGAATGCCTCTGGGGCTGGAACGGGTCTTAACCGTGGGCTCAGCCACCGAGAACAGTACAGATCATTCTTTTAGGACGTTGTTCTATTTTGTAAGGCAACCCAGATCAAGCATAAGACATCATTTCCGATCGACCCAGAGACTTCTGTTTTTTTTTTTTTTGTTTTTTTTTAATTTGATCAGTCCTGCCAATCCTTAAATGGACATCATACTTATCCGAGCTTTCTGGAGCCCACGAAACGACACTCGGGGCTTTGTTATACTTCACGGTTGAACTATGGCCTGCAGGTGCTGGGGGTGCTGGCCATGGTGGCCCTGGGGGGGACCTTCTCAGCAGGTCTACTTCTTGCTGATTTGAGGAGCATGCCAGGTCAAAGGAACGTCAAACCTTTCTGAAAGGGACACAGGGCGCTCCGCCGCAGATACTCACAGGACGACCTCCACGTGGTCCAAAGCCCATTGATCGTGACCTGTTCCGTTGTGGCGTGGCTGCCACCAGCGCAGTAACACCCCCTTCATCCGTGCCTCCCTGCGTTCCAGACAGAAGGACACAGAGGCTGAGTGTTGAGAAAACGGATCTTTCTGCTGGCGGGTGATTTACAGAGCCTAACTCGAGTCAAGAACATGTCACAACAGAGAATCCAGATTTGCTTAGCTCCCAGTGCTCTTTTAGGTAGTATAAAGTTGGAGACTTAGCAGCTAGTAATGGTGGTCTATCGTTCTTCCCTCCCTTTGTTCTAACAGTATCCAGAAAAGCAACATGTTTATCAACAAACATGAAATGCTTTCCGTGATAGGCCCTGTGCTAGGAGCTGGGTGAATAAGGCAAAGCAACGGCGATACGGTTCCAAATGATCTCTCCACACAGAACCTCAAGGTTGCTGTATTTCTGAAGTATTAGAAATGCCATTTAAAGGGAGAGAAATATGCACAGTTCTTTGCATTTAGTTTTCCATTCATTCCCTCCTGCCCTTCTGTCTTGATTAGTCATCTCCCTCTGGTCCCACTGGAAAACAGCAACACAAATGTTTGTAATCAGGGATGTCTTGGCTCTGCCACTGCCTAGGTTCATGGCATTGGTCCAACAGCCCCCCACAGGAGTGGGCAGGAGAGCACGTGCTTCCCTTCAGGACACTTACAGCGGGACGTTGTAAGACACCCTCTGAGCTTGTGTGAAGTCCTTCGGCTGGTGCTGAGCGATGACGTGCCACGTGATGCCATTGTTGACGCTGTACTGCAGCAGCACTGCCTTGTCCACGGCATGGGGGCCACTGACGTCACTGTTGCAACTCTCTGTTTGGGATGTGCTCCCGATTTGCAAGACAAACATGATTTTGCTGGAAAAAAACAAAACAAAACAAAACAGGGAAATCAACTTTAGATGAAAGTTGGGAAACATTAAAGGAGGAGGAAGTTCTCACTTTGTTTTCCCTAAAGCCCACAATTCCTGAGTTCATCCATCTACATAGCTTATACATGGTGCTGGACACTGTAAATCATGTAGAGATGATCCAAATCACACAGGAGCATTAGCGCAGGCTGAGTGCAAGTACTACAGCAGAGAGAGACTTGAGCATCCATGGGTACCCTGGAACCAATCCCCCTTGTTTACTAAGGGCTGACTGTATGACAAGAACAGGTATGAATGAACAGTTCCGACTTTCATGATGCTGGAAATCTGTTTAGAATCTTTCCCCACAAATACCTTTTGTTCTCTAAACAGTAACTGAAGCCAAGCAACTGAGGAGATGGAATGCAATCACAAGATGCGCACTGTATACTTTTTACAGAGCTCCAAGTTGAATGGCATGTGGGCGAGGATAAACCATCATGTATATTTTAGGAGAGGTTTTCTGGTAAGATCAGATGAGGGAAAGCCAGATGAGAGCATGCAGGCTCAGGCTCACGTCTGTTCTTCTGTTAGATGCCTTTTCACATTCACAGACATCCTTATCCTTGAAAGACACAGCTCTCTGTGTGTGCATGTGTCTCTCTGCCTGTGGTGTGTGTGTGTGTGTGTGTGTGTGTGTATACCTGTATGGAGATATGTACCTGTATGTGCACATATGTGTGTGGAGGCCAGAGGAAAATGCCAGCTGTCTTCAAGAGCTTTTCTACCATACTGTCTTGAGTTCTCTCACTGAACCTTGGACTTGGTATGCAGCTATCCACTGATTACCTGCATCTGCACATGGGGTCAAGGAAGGCTGTTGCTAGATTAATTCTATCTTTTCGATAGGAAGGATGAGAACGGGATGGACACGATTTTAGTTTTTGCATGGCTCCCGTACAGGGATGGCTTTTATTGTATTTTTACTGTTTGTCATTCTGAGATCCATAAAAATCTGCTTTTCTGTCTCGGAAAACACTAATATTTTCCAAAGAAAACGCTTCCAGCTAGCCATCGCATTCTGTTACTATGCCTCTAGGCCTCAGATACCCACGTGCTTCCTGAATGCTTGCCACCCTGCAGCGGGTACTCTAGTCCACGGCTTTGTGCCCCTATAAACCTTGGAGTCTTTAGGCCCATGGTGGCTATAGCAGAGTGGCTGAGGAGGGAACATGAGGAAGAAAAGCAACCCTGCTAGGGTCTTCCTCCTCCTCACTCTTACAATATACATAATGTAATATACAGTTTCTGCTCACCCTATTCTGCTGTGTCCAGCTCCTATACATGTGATTAATTAAAGATCTTATCCCTTCTTTATTTCTATTTACTGAACTTACAGATGCTAAGCATGGGTATATATTTGTATTTATACAAATGTTCACATTACGCTTACGTACTTTGCTGTGGTTGATACTAAGTTATTGCTGTAGCTAGTATGAGTGGGAAGAAATAACAAAGACATCCTAAGATAAATTTACACAATGATAGTTCTGAGCTGTTAAAACACACAATGGTTTGAAATGGAAGTTTTGGTTTCTTTATAAATTCAGATAAATATGGTTTTGTTTTAATGCCAAGTGCAGGAATTTTAGTTGGGCTATAGTTTGTTCACACCTGTTAATTGTCTTGTGTAGGCGTGGCTTCTGCCAGCTGGCAATGGCCTTCCATATACGGCATGTAGAGAGGGGGTGGTTTAGGACTCTGAGGATATATAAATTGAGAGCCCAGAAAGAGAAGGGATGGCATGTGGAGGCTTGAAGAAAAGTGCTGGCTGCATCTGCTGTTGATGGAGACTGGTATAGAGCTCTACAAGAACCCATTGACCCTAAACAGCCAAGAGCAGTAAAGGTAACCTTCTCTCTCCTATGTAGGCTTGGAAGGGAGATTGAGGCTTAAACACCCCAAATATAGCAGAGTGTTAAAAACAAGCACTACAATGTTTTTCTGATATCCATGCTCCCTTGCTTAGTGGACATTGTTGCATGAAGTCCATGATCAGATCTGGGCTTGTGACCAATTCTGTGTCTTGAATACAGCGCAAGGGTTTGCTCACCTTGCTCGAGTGAGATCCAGTGGCTTGGTGGCAGCTTGCCTTATCTGACAGCCATTAAAGTAGAGTGAGTCTCCATGGGCATAGGGTGCCAGCTGCCCACAGCCACTTCCAATGACGCCACCCTGAATTGTTTCCCAGTTGGCTTCAGTGACTCTTGCTGATTCAAAATTATCTTTAATGTAACTGGGAAGATCTTGAGTGAAGACAGAGCAGTCATCACCTGGGGGAAAAGAAATAGTCACAGAGATCAGAGTCCGATGAAATAAATGCAATCATCCAGGAGTAAGAACAACATTCAATTTCAGGCTTGAGCCATGTTTATGCAAGTGGAGTACCAGGCAGACTCACTCACAGAGGCAGCCGTTTCTCTTGTAGTGGGGTAATTATGGGCTTATGTTGAGAAAAATCCCATTACTTTTGAGTCAGTGCTTACATACATACATGTCAATGCCAATCTATTGTTTAAACACTACAGCATTTGGCCAGGCCCGTGTGTTTGCCAGGGATGGGGCTCAGCATGGAGCTTTCTCCCTGGCATAGGAGGCCAATCTAATTTCTTCCCCCCTCCCGGCATGATTTTGCAGAAACTAGATATACCCTGTTCTTGTTCTCCACACAGCTCTCTTTCTGAGGAGTCCTGAGAACAGAGTCTACATCTTAACTCCTTGTTGGATTTTGGCACCTAGTATGATTAACTGGTACCTTTTCAATATTCAGCAATGATGCTGGGATAAATAAAGGAATTATATGTAAACTGGAAATGTCTTCCATGAGCCACTAAGGTGAGTCTGGTGTATAAGACATAAAACTAGTGAATGTGTGTATTTCTCCTGGGTTTGAACTGTACGTGCTATGTTCAAAATCAAAAAGCCCTGCTGCTGTTGGGTCAGGGAAGAGGGAAAATTCCAGAGAGCGAGGCCTTCTCATCAGACATCTGAGTCATTAATTTGCCCACAGTTAAAATTCTTTGGCTAAATACCCAGGCAGACTCAGCTGGTCTCAGCAGCAGTGAGAACAGCGGAGGAAGGAGGTGGGTAAGTAATTTTCAACATCAGAGATGCGCAGGCATCGACATTAATCATATCCATTTCATCTGGAGGCAAAGAAGTAGCATCAAACAAGGAATCTAAATGGATCTCACTATAGAATTCAAATATATATGTTCTAACCCTGTATTCTTTGGGGAAAGTTGTATAGTTCTGATCTTCTTTAGATAAATCTCTCCGCTATGAGACTGGTGAAGTGGATTGAGAAAATAATGACCTGGTCATCTTTGCCAGCTCTGTGATTTATGACAAATCACTACCCTTATTTATTAAGTGGGAATGGTCACCTTAACCATAAGTAACTTGCAGGGCTGACTCTAAAGAATGCGTATAGGCTATGCAAACAGTGAAATCAAGGCAGTGTGAAGCGCAAAGATTTCTCAGCCTTGCTATATGGCTATTATTACGCTCTGAGGATATAATGGTTAAGTGTGAAATGGCAGAAGCTGGAGCCTGCCGAAATGTTTAGATGGAAGGAAAAGCAGGGTTGGCAGGCATTTTCCGACCACGTGAGAGGCTGCCTCGACACTCTGCCCCAAACATTTAGCCTCTAGAATCCCAAGCAGTGGAAAGTAATTTGGTTGTGTGATGGAGTTTGCTTGTTTTTCCCCATGAGTGACAGCGACCTGAGAAGTGGAACAGTCAGGTCACCAGCTACTTCCCTGGGAGGATGAAGCTAATGTGGGCGACAGGGGACACAGGCACCCCAGGCTATTCTGAGTGGATTTATCCAGACCCCTCTACTTGCAAATGTAAATCATCACACACAGAATTGTCAAGTTGAATTTGTCTTTTTTTTTTTTTTCCATTCATGTATGGGAGGTGTTTTTGAGTGTTTGTGTACATGCAGGCACATGTATGTGTGTATGTAGTGGCCAGATGCTATTGTCAGAAATGTCATCCACCTCCTTTGAGTCAGTTTCTAACTGACTGGGGCTCATCAATTCATCTAGACTAGGGGCCGAGTCAGCCCCGAGGAACCTTCTGTCTGTCTCTCCAGTGCTTACATTCTAAGATTGTAACACCATGCCCAGAGTTTTTGCATGCCTTCTGGGGACTGAACTCAGGTCCTTGAGCTTGCGAACCAAGTACTTTATTGCCTGAGCCACCCTTGCAACTCCTCAGTCTAGTTTTAAAAATGAGTTTCAGGAAGCAGAAGAAGGGCTTTTTGGGGGGAGAAAGGAGACATACATGTAAATAGGAGCCAGTGTTTCATAAGGACAACTAAAAAAAATAATTTAAAGATGCTTTCAGGAACAGTCCTGAGATGGCTTAATTGTGTTTGAGAATTACTTCCAACTGTTGGGCAAAGTGCAGGGAATCTGATGTAAGGAGTGGGAAATAGTAAGATCTGGAGAGGACAGGAATCCCACAAGGAGAGCAACAGAACCAGAAAATTTGAACACAGGGGTCTTCCCAGAGACTCATACTCCAACTAAGTACCAGGCATGGAGATAACCTAGAACCCCTGCACAGATGTAGTCCATGGCAGTTCAGTGTCCAAGTGGGTTACATAGTAATGGGAAGAGGGACTGTCTCTGACATAATGTGATAGGCCTGCTCTTTGGTCACCTCCCCCTGAGGGGGGAGCAGCCTTACCAGGCCACAGAGGAAGACAATGCAGCCACTCCTGATGAGATCTGATAGACTAAGATCAGAAGGAAGGAGAGGAAGACCTTGCCTATCAGTGGACTTGAGGAGGGGCATGCATGAAGAAGGGGGAGGGAGGGTGGGAATGGGAGGGGAGGAAGGAGGGGTTTATGGGGGGATACAAAGTGAATAAATTGTAATTAATAAAAAATAAAAAAATAATAAGAATGAAGCGGTCAAGGACTGTGTTATCTGCTGCCCTCTCAGCCTGGCTTTTCCATCCATCTCCTAATTTACTGTCTGGTATGTAAGATCAGGAGCCCGCAGTGCCCCGCCTCAGGGGCAGCCTGGGTTCGGACCTTGGAAGCTTTCATCACAGATGCACACGGCCCCCGTGGTGCAGTAGCCATGCCCGCTGCAGAGCTTGGGACAGGCCTCTCCAATGTACACGTGGTCGATGGCCCAGCTTTGCTTCTCCGTCTCTTCTCCTTTCTGGATCCAGCGGAACTGTGTGGCACTGGGCCAAGGAGAGAGAAAGGGAGTTAGCAAGATCTTACTTCCCCTGTCTAGCCTCTGCCTGTGGGAATGGGGATCTCAGGAAAGACCTCAAATTTCTACCCAAAGTACTCCAAACGTAGACCATTGACTCATCTTCCAGAATTGGGGTGTCCGTCCCCACATGCCTTTCTGAGAGCTGTATCTTCTCTAAGGTCTTACCTTCTTTTGCCTATGTGTGTGTGTGTGTGTGTGTGTGTGTGTGTGTGTGTGTGTGTGTGTACAATGTGTGTGGAAGGCAGAGGCTGATCTTGAGTGTTTGTCCTATTCAAATTCTATTCTATGTATGAGAATTTCCTGTTCTCACATTCTACAGCAAATTCTATGTCCCTATGTATGTACATAGACATATGTAAAATTAAGGGAGTGTATAATTTTAAAAAATCCTTTGGTGAAATGAATGCTGCTCTGGGGAAAACCACACAGTACCCTATTTATCCTCAGCTTTCTGTAACCTGGCAACCTAGGAGGTTTGCATGTCTGCATGAGCAACACAGCCTTTGGTAGGGCAGCATGCTAGGGCAGGGCTGGCTCCAACTTCAGTCTCTGCGTAGGATCTAACATTCGGGATGAGTATATGTTGCAAGTGCATGTTCTGTAGTTTAAAAAAAAAATCTGAGCTCTATGAGCAATTTCTAAATAGGTTCCTGCCCCCCCCCCCCCCCCCCCCTTGGGACATGAGATGGCAAGAAGAGAAAAGAGTCCTTAGGCTGCAGCTAAAACTCTGTTCCTATCTTTCTGCATGACTGCACACAAGTGGTTCTCAACCTGTGGGTCATGACCCCTTTGGGATGGAAGGACATTTCACAGGGGTCACCTAAGACCACTGGAAAACAACGATGTTGTCTACGTTACAATTTGTAACAGCAGCAAGACTACATTTATGAAGTAGCAGCAAAAACGATCTCACGGTTGGGGTCGCCAGATCACGAGGAACTGCACTAAAGGGTCATAACATTAGGAAGGCGAGAACCATGGCTGCAGACGCTGTCTGACGGGGGGCCCCCAGGCTCGCCTTTGCAGACAACCCACCTTGAGGAGACGTGGTCCGGCAGCTGGATGGTGATCCTCTTCCAGCTTGAGCTGTTGACGGCATTGTAAATGGTGGCTTCGTGGAACTGGAAGGGGGAGCAGCCGATGCTGTTGGACGAGGAAGGCAGGCACTGGGTCTGCACGAGCTGCCAGGAGTCAGACCTGTGACGACCAAAGGGTTGCATCAGGCCAGCCAGGGAGAACGAGTGAGGAGGACGGCAGGCAACGCTTTGGGACGGGAAATTACGTGAACTTCCTCTTTGAAAAAGAGTCGTTTCTCTTTTGTGTGTATGAATGTTGGCCTGCACATATGTATGTGCGCCGCATGTGTGCAGGGCCTGCCGAGGCCAGAAGAGGCAATCGGACCGAGACTGGAATTATGGACAGCTGTGAGCCACTGAGTTCTGGAAACCGAACCTGGTTCCGTTGGAAGAGCAGCCAGTACTCTTAATCACTGAGCCATCCCTCTGTCACCCTTTTAAAAAAATTTACTTATTTAGAATCTCCTCTTTTAAAAATTACATGTAGTTATAGAGCAGTGAAATCACTGAAATGATCTGAAATATAACCCTGAAGTTTTATATATACAATGACATTTAAGGAACTCAGCATATTTATATGTCTGCTAATTTATACATGTGTGTAATAATAACTATTAAAGAAAGAGAGGCCATGGCTTTGAGGGGGAGTGAGGAACGGAAAAGAAGAAATGGAAGGGGAGAAATGAGATAATTATATTTTAATTAAAGATAGATATTCTGTCAAAAAAATAAAAAGCTATCCCCTACAAAATATCTCATTGGAGGGATGTGAAGGAGAGTAACGTGGCGGGGGTTCCTGAAGAGATAAAAGGGATTGGGGAAGTGAAATAATTCTATTTCGATTAAAAACATTTAAAAAATGAAGAAAAGATCCTATCCAAACAAAATCCAAAGCCTCTTGTAAGTTAACCATAGTCCAGTGGTCGGCCCTGTACTCATGCATATATGAACAGCTCTTACGGGAGTGAATGGGTTAAAAAAAAAAAAGAGAAGAGAAAATGAGTTAGTAAAGGGCTGTAGGGAGTATGTCCTGGAAGAAGTTGCAAGAGGAGAGTGGGTGGACATGATAAAAATACCTTGTATATCTGTCTGAAACTCTCATAGCATGAATACATTAAAACAAAAAGAACAGAAGATAGCTTCTCATTAGATGTGTTAACTCTTTGAAACTACATTGATGCTTAATGTTTAAAACTACATTACACAACAGAATAAAATGATGGCACGCATGAGGATGAATGCGTCCTCATGTGTTCTCACCAGACACATACACGGAGCCAACTGACTTAACGAAGTTTTCCAAGTGATGGGGAGGAGACAGCGATCAACCAGGGAAAGCCCCCACCCTGGGCTCCCTCCCCACTGCTAATGTGTTTTAGGAGTCAGGACTCCAGGCAGAGCACACGCAGATCACCGCCTATTAAAAGTTTCCTGAGCAGCAGGAACAAAACAGTGATCTGGGAACAAACTGAATATATTATTTTAAAATGCAATATTTCTTAGCAGCTGCCCAGTATGAAAACTGATTTTGTTCCCCTTTGGTTTGAAAGATAAACTTGAAGACATGTGGGTAAATTTTATGGTAATTAAATTTATGTGAACATACACGCAAGCTGACAGGGCCTCCCTAGGTATTCTGGGCTGCCTCAGTGTCCGCAGTCCGGAGGTTACAGGCATGCTGTATCTGTACCACAATATCCTGAAAGCTTCCTCTTTCCGTACACAAAAGTGCTTCTTAAAGCTAGACACACGTCTGAATTATGTTTTCAAGTTAGGATGATTGTAAAACAGTCTCACTAACCTTGCATCCTTAGTGTATTCCAGCATTACAGAGTGAAGGTCACCGCAAGAACTGGCTTCACAACCCACCACGATCTAAAGCGAACAAAAGCCATCAACAGACAAGCCAGACGAAGCGATATCCAATGTAACTAATCAGAAATCCGATTTCTCCACCTCAAGACTCTAATAGGCAATCAAATATTCAGGGGAGTTTGACAAGCAGCCTGACCGTGCATGGAGAGTTCATTCTTTAGAGCTATCAAGACGTGCAATTTTCAAGAAAGCTGAGAATTAAGGATTTTAAGGTATTATCTCTACTAATTTACCTAATTCTATCATATTACATAAATTTGGATAAGGGAAATTGGCTAAAATATTATGAGGAGATTTATGGGGAGAAATTGAAAGTATCTAATGCAAAACATGTTCATGGTTTTAGCATAGCACTTAGATGCTACTATGAAGTTTTTATTTGGAAGTGAAAAATAACAAAATTTAATTGCTTTGTCATTCCTATGGCTGTTTTTCTATTTCAGTATTATCGGCGATCAAATGTCTGAACCATTAATAATGCATGAATGCTATGAAATTTGGTGACTCAAATATAAGTTCTAATTGTTGATTTAAGCAACAAGTCCTATTTCACTGCTGCTATTAGGGGACATTAGTCCTAAACATTTAGGGCATAATACTCATAGACGAGACAATCATAACCCAAGGTTAGAATAAGAAGAATAGTCAGGAACAGGAGTAGGAATCTAAGAGACACACAATAAATAACACAGGAATGGTAGATTGCAGCTGATTGCGTGGACTGGAAAATGATTCATCCATTAGGTACGTGGGAGCTGACCCTGAAGGAAGGGGAGCACTGGGGAGGTAGAAGCAGCAGAGAGCTGTCTAGGAGGGCCAAGAGTGGGTGGACACAGGGACGCAGAGGAAACGGAATCCCGGGAGATGAAGCCAGAGTGCTGGGCTGAGTTTCACGGGCTGTGAGGGAGACAGACACGTGTTTGGTCCTGCTAAGAACCACTGAAGTTTCCAGGAGTGGAATGACAGACTAAGAGCTATGCTATGTAAAGCTAACGTGACATCAGGGTTAGGCAGGAATGAAGAGAGACTGGGGGGTCAAAAGGGAACCTGTTGACGTACATAGGGCGCAAATGGACATAGCAGTGCAGAGGAGATCTGAGGAGGGCAAAGACCACGCGTAAGTAGAATCAGAGGGCGCAGGAACCGATTACACGTGAAAAGTGAAAAATTCAAGACATTTAAAGCTGTGCAGTGGTGAAGGGTGGTTCGATCAACAGAAATGGCTTAGTTATAGGAGGAGCTGCTATGGGGGGGAAGATGTTGAATTTACCATGAGACATACCAAGCTGAAGCGCTCGTGTGCGAGTCAGAAATCTGTAGAAACTACTGCAGATGGGAGTGAGTGGACGGGTGGGGTGGCTCAGGAGGCAAAGCGACCTGTTGTCAAGCCTGATGACCTGAGTTTTATGACCTGGCAGAGAGCTGACCTCTGCCCACACGCACACAGCTCACAGAAGCAAATGAAGACTGCAACTTAAAATGCTAATGTAAAATCGAGACTGTCATTGAGCCGGTCAAGGTTACGGATCCAGATCTGGGACTTGCTTTTCAAGATACGGCACAAGCCGGAAGATTGTGTGCAGCTCTGAGTCACCAAACGCAGTGGAGGAGAAGAACGTGAGACTCGTGGACAAATGCTGGTGTTTGGAGGTGGAGGGAAGAAAGTTACAAGGAGACAGAGGTAGATATCAGGGAGATAAGAGAACCACAACAAGGAGAGATAATCCCCAGCTGCGGAGCATGAGGCAGCAGTGTTGAGCAGTAAAGGGCACAGGACAGAGGGGCGATGGGTGCTGACTCAGCTAGGGGAGAGTCTATGGTAACCTAAATTTCAGGGGACGAATTTACTCTCATTAAAAATTATTTTATTTCTATGTGTATGAATGGGATGGGGGGAGGGGAAGTACATACATTTCCGTGGAGTGGAGGTCAGAGGTATCAGCCCCTGGAGCTGGAGTTACAGGGGTTGTGAGCTGCCTGACATGGGTGCTGGGAACTAAGTCTTCTAGAAGAGCAGCAGGCATGCTTAATGGCTGAACCACCTCTCCACCCCTTCCTTTTACTTTAAATAAGTTGATATGTTGGGAGAAAACACATTACAGTGCCCTTCAGTTCTGAGTTCACAGAACAAACAAGGAGGAGACAAGCCAGACTGTGGTGGCCCCAGGAGAGAAAATCTGACTCTCCAAGGACAAGGCTTAGAAGCTGGTGTGGAGTGACACTAGATGTGACCGTGAGGGGCTTTCAAGTCACAGAAGCTGGACACTGTCGTAGGGAATGAAGGCATCGGGAAAGCATCTCTGAACTAGGTCTAACGCAGAGCCAAAGAGAAAAGCAGATACGCTTCAATTTCTTCTAATAAAGCCTCGAGTCCATAGTCCGTCTTTTAAAATAAGGGCATTAGAATAACTGTTTTTTATTTTTAAAGATCTAATAATTAAATGCATTCATGTGATGCCTTTAAAGGTGTGTTTGACACCAGGAGGACAGCAGTTGCCATGGCTTTATCATTCTCTGTGAGTGTCTCTAAACTGCTTCTTTTCTAGCCTTCTACGCACTAAAAAGATTTTAAAAATCTCCAGTTGTTTGAGGCTTTGGGAGCTACAACTGGGCTAAAGTATACGTTTGTGAAGTTGGAGACAAAGGGAACGCTGGCAAATAAACTGGAAAAGAACAGCTGAAGAAGCAAACGGTTTGCATAGTCAGAGTTACAGAGGGCTCGAGGCGCTACTTCAGCCTTTCACTTCGGCAGATGAGTGTGTACATGAGCTGCAGCTCAGCTACATTTCTTGCGGAGTCTTAGCATCTCTACAGAGTTTATCTCTGCTCAGATAACCGCAGGTGGAGAAAGGCCTTTGTAAAATGTTACGGCAAGTTAGAGTATCTTTTAATGGGTGCAATCCATCATCGGTCGGCCATTGTCAGAACAAACCCCCTCCCCCCACAGCCCGCACAGATGTTGCCTCTTTCCGTGTCGCTGTCCCTTACTTTAAACTGCATCATGTATCCTGGCTGTATAATAAGCTCACGGGAGGAGAGAGCATTGTAGGTCTTGTCCTTCTTTTTGTTTGGCCAGTAGAGGTGGAAGGACGGATTGCCACAGAATCCTGCTGTCCTGACTGCGTTAGGGTAAAAACTCCAGTTTTCTTCATGGGAAGATCCTTCTGTAAACGGGCGGGAAACAATGCAGTACATTATTTTCTTCAACTAAGATGCTCAATGCTAAATCACTTTCGTGTTTACTGCTGAGGCTGGTTATTTATTTTATACATCTGTCTTAATAGATAAAGCCCATTTAGGGCAAAAGTACTGCTAGAACGATCACTTTGCTATAAAAGGGTACTTGTTTTTCTGGGTAGAAATGCTGATTTCTTCTGGGCATCTGTAGTATGTGTTCTGTGGTACAGAAATTACTAAAAGGACTTAAAATGTTCATGGTTTTGTGATTCTAAATGATAATAAAACACTTTTTTATTTAGCATCGGTCTTTAAATTCTCAATTGACAGCTCAGTAAGTGACCAACTTTGCAGATTTGTAAGCTACAGGGCCTGACAACAGCAAACACCGGTTGAGCAGCGTGCCCTGGACCCTGCAGGGTGCTCGCTATGGAACGTGGCTGAAGGAGAGAAAGCTCCTCGGAGCTTTCTTTTTTACCGTCATCGAAAGTGTCCACCAGTTGGCTTGGATTGATTTCTGCTCCGCCGATCAGAATGTTGTCCAGCGCCCACTGCGCACGCTCCACCCCGGAAACCACAATCCCGTTGCTGATCACAAAAGGCTGCCACCAGCGAAGCCGAGTGGTATTGGTGAGGGCGTCCTCCGGGAGGAGGATGTAGTCGTGTCTCACAGAAATGTATTTCTGGAAATCCATCTCGTGGAGCAAAGTCCAAGTAATTCCTATAAGAACAAACGCACCGGCTCAGTGACGCCCGGGAAAACGGCCCGCAGACCAGCAGCAACCCAAGCCCGGTGAGCCTCCTCAGGAAAGGTTTAGCCAGGCACGGCAACTGAAGGTTTAAACGTCTAGCAACGTTTAAACGTCAACACTTGCAGACACAGCTCCAGTACAAGGCTGACCCCGTGTGAGGGTATTTAGATATATAGGTTAAAGTAAACATATTGAAGTGGAAATGATACACTTTAAATTTTTACTTAATTTAATCTTAATTCAGCTCTAGATTCTCAAGAGGCTTTCTTTCTCAAAAGGAAGACATACTCATGTTTCTAGACAGTAGCTTCTAGATTTATGGGGAAGCTATTATAATTCGATGAAATTTACAATTGTTCAGAAGGCTAAGAAGTTGGTCTTCCTGCTTGATAGGACCATGGGAAAACGGTTTACAACCCGTGACAAGGCTGAGACAGTTCTGGTTTATCTATTAGCTAGTTATTCAGAACACTCTCTGGATGCTGAAACATAGCTTGAAAAAAACAACAAACTTTTCAACTGTTTTCAGTGGGAATTGTTTTTATGTCAATGATCTCATTAGGTTACTTTATTTTTGAAGACTCTTATTTGAGTGCATGAGTGTTTTGCTTGCATGTGTGTCTGAATGTGCACTGCTTGCATGCCCGGTGCCCACTGAGGCCAGAAGAGGCTGTTAGATACCCGGGAACTGAGGCTACAAGAGACTGTGGGCCATCATGTGGCTGCTGGGAACCAAACCTTGGTCCTCTGGCAAGCGATCCTCCTAAGCACTGAGTCATCTCTCCAGCCCTTAAGGCAATGTCTCTGAACATCCTATGGTGTTAATGGATAGTTACTTCAAAGTAATAAAACAGAATTTTATTAACATAGTTTCATGAATTCAGGATATTTTCTTTCAGATGTTATTATTGACACAACAGTGTTTTAGATTTTTTTTTTTTTTTTTTTGAGACAGGGTCTCATTATGTACTTCTGGCTGTTCTAGAACTCACTATGTAGACCAGGCTGGCCTCAACCTCACAGACATCTACCTGCTTCTGCCTCCGAAGTGCTGGAATTAAAGGTGTATACTACTTTGCTGGGCCCAAGATTCTTCTGAAACCATATTTTACTCAGAAAATCATTCAAAATTCATTTTTTTTAAATTCTCTTAAAAAAGATGACATAAAGTTGGGAGAGAGATGTGTTAGAGAGAACCTGGGGGAGATGGAGGGGAAGAGAGTGGGTTGTGCATATGATAAAGACAGACAGTATACATGCATATAAATAAATATATAAACAAAAATACAGGTTCTCTTAAAACCTTTTTCTTTTTAATGGGATATCTCTCTCAATTCCTCTGTGTATGTTTGGGGTATGTGTGTGCCGGGGATGTAGATTTTGCCTAAAGGCAGTCCCATGACCAGGACACGTAACACAAGCAAAATCTGCTGCTCCTTCCCTGAGGTCTTCATGATCATCACTGCCAGTAAAGGTTTGTTTCTGGGGGTGTTAGATGGGATGTGGGGACGTGTGCCTAGGCATGGCTGCCACCCGTGAAACATGCCTCCACCCATGAAACATGCCGCCACCCATGAAACATGCCTCCATCCTTAGAGTAGTCCAGCAGTACGCCTTCCTTCCGGCAGATGGGCCGATGGCAAGATGTCATGTTGTTCTCGCTGCCGATTCGGCCCCAGTATTGCAGGAACCTAAATGCAAGCACACACCCTCTTATCAGAATGGTGGGCTAGAGCAAAGATGCCCCTCAGGTCCTCAACCACAGCTTCCACATGTGTTCGTCACTCTGGTGTCCCCTTGTGAAGCTGTGGTAGAGGTGAGGAAAACATGACTTACTTTGCACCTCTGAGATCCAAGTCTTGAGTAATAGCTTGTCTCACGGTGGAACCCCCAAAATAGAGCGCAGTGTTCTCGGCAAGAATCCCACACTCGGTACAGGTACTTCCACCTTCTAAGGACATCCACAAGTCAGGTTTGATCTCTTCGCTGTCAAATCGCTCCTTCAGGAAGGTCTGGGGGAAGGGGGAGGTCAGTGGAATGTGGTTAAAGAGGAGAATTTCAGGTAGAAAGGATGGCATGCTACCCAATAAAGTTGCTTGGATATAAAAAAAGAACAGAACTGATTTCAGCATTTTTTTTTCAAAGATATATTTGAAACCCAATAGGTTATGTTCATAATTTTACTTTTGACCATATACTGAAGATAATTTAAACTGCTTGGATAAAATTTAATGATTAGGCTTTTATTTTTTAAACTATAAAAATGTAAACTTTTATTCTAACACACATTAAAAATGTAGATTCAAGGTCAAAGTGTCAGTATCCCTTTTTAATATAATGTTAATGAATGCAAAATCAGAGTAACTTAAATAATGGCTTAAAATAATCATGAGACAAGCTCTTTTCTGTTCGAAGAAATGAAATAATTCAGCTAGCCTAGAAATGCCTGAAACCAAACACATAAATACTCTCTTTTATTTACAGACCCTAAATTCCAGAAAATTTATACTATCCAGAGAAGGGAAGAGATATAATTTTATCTTCTGATTAGGTGACACAAGAGTCGCAATCACAGTAGAAACAATCTCTCCATGCCCCTGAATACATCCACATCTATATTTATGGACATCTCCCCAGTTCTTCAGGAGAGTTCTGTCTTGTGCGGTTAAATGATTTACAAATGTCTCAGTTCCTAGCATGATCAACCCTATAATTAAAGGCATTGCAAACACACACCCGCCTGACCTTACTCCACTCCCGGGGAGAAAATGAGCACTCTTTTTTTTAAATAAATGAATGTTCATATGTAAGAACACGAGCCAAAAGAAATGCATGGCTAACCGCACATGCTCTCATTAGAAGAATGAACTGGAGTTCACAGTGTAGACCCTTATGACTGCTTGTCTGAGAAATACTAATGAAATTTGAACATTCATATGAGGTCTTAGGTCTTTTCTCTAAATATAAATGAGCAATGTCTTCAAATGTTATTTTCAATATTTGCTAGGCTTCAGTTATGTGCACTTTATCTATTTATTTATTTATTTTTTTGAGATAGGATCGCCTATTCAGGCTGGCCTGGAACTCCAGGATTACAGATGGGGCTACAATGCCTGACAGTTGTATCGTTTTAGCTGAGGCATTTTTCTGCTATTAAAATGATGTCTGTGCTCTACTGTGCTCAGAGACTGCACTGACTTTCCATATTAAGTATATTGAATGCAACGGCTAATGTGTCAAAAATTGATAATCCTATCATTAATATTCAGCCACATTCCAGCACCTAACAAGTTAGACCATAGAATTTTCTGGAAAAAAGCTTAGGCACTGCTTAAGCGTGTTTGAAAATTTGTTTTTTAGGGGGGTTATCTATAACATTTGCTTCATTTAATAAGCATAATAGTATCTTCCTCCTTTGTATCAACTGAAAAAGTAGGAGCTTCAAAAAAGGCAAATACTGACTTTGAACTGAGTGTTGTTTTGTTTTTTAAAGAAAAAAAGGTGGACATAGTAGCACATTCCTTTCATGCCAGCACTCGAGAAAGACAGTGAAGCATATCTCTCTGAGTTTGAGGATAACCTAGTGTACATGGCCAGTTTGGGCCATTCAGGGCTACATAGAAAGACAGACAAGGGAAGAGTGGCAGGAGGGAAGGATAGAGACAGACAAACAGGGACAGAGACACAGCCTTGCTACAGATGACAGTCTCATGTGTAGATACTGTTCACAGCCCGCCTGTGGGCGAAGGGTGCGACAGTACCTTCAGAGTGTGGGTTAAGTAGCAGTTTGGCCCCGAGTACCCTGGATCACAGATGCACTGTTCCTTCAGGCAGTCTCCGTGGCCTCGGCAGCTGTCCAAGCATCCCGGGCCAAGGTAGAAATTGTCAATTGCCCACTGCATATCGGAGTACTTCTGGTAGAACCTAAATCTTACAGGACTATTGGCAAAAGCAAATGAATGAAAAATAAGTTAACATTATTCAGACCTATTTATATCTCTATCTATCTATCTATCTATCTATCTATCTATCTATCTATCTATCT